AGGCGGACGAGTTTGCGTACTAAAGTGTTTTCTCGTCAAATTAAATAGAATGTACCATCGTAAGGTCTACATCGGACATCACGCGCTGTGAGTCCGCTGACTCTGCCTTCTTGCCACGCGACGGGCTCATCGGAGAATAAAAGCAACTATTATACGAAGTTATACGAGGGGGGGGGGGGGGGGGGGGGGGGGGGGGGGGGGGGGGGGGGGGGGGGGGGGGGGGGGGGGGGGGGGGGGGGGGGGGGGGGGGGGGGGGGGGGGGGGGGGGGGGGGGGGGGGGGGGGGGGGGGGGGGGGGGGGGGGGGGGGGGGGGGGGGGGGGGGGGGGGGGGGGGGGGGGGGGGGGGGGGGGGGGGGGGGGGGGGGGGGGGGGGGGGGGGGGGGGGGGGGGGGGGGGGGGGGACGGGGCCTGACATGCTGGCTCACGGTGAGCGGCTAATTTTGATACGCCGCGGTTAAGTCGACCGTGAGGAGAGCAGCAAGTTCCCCATTAATCGTTCTGGCCGCCCCTTCCTTGTTTCAGGAAGGTTCTGTAATTTTGAGCTCTACGGCGGACTGGGTCGGGCCGCTTTTTAAATCGAACATCACAACTGTAACGCCATGCCACACAAATTCGATCTGGTTGATTCGGTAGGTATCCCATTTATCGTACACCTGGCCAGATAGAGGTCATATTTTAGTGGACCTAACAATGAGCGAAGGAGGAAATAATGATAAATATTACAAATTTGTTGAGGGAAGCACCCGCCGTTCTTAACCTGTGTGCAAATGAATTTCCTGCCGTCGAAGGTGGTGATCCAATTCGCATGAATGTAATCACGTGGACGTCCATTGAGAATAACACGCGTCGTGTCCAGACACCGAACGTCGGTATACCTGAGAAGACTGGTCTGTGATGGAGATCAGGAATGTTCACGCTAGTAACACACAACATTTGGATGAACATTAGTCTCACCTTAATGAAGTCATTCGCTCACTGCCTACATAACAATACCGTCCATTATGCGAGAGGTGGTCAACAAGCTTTCAGATTCAGATTGCTTGGGTCAACAAGTTTTCCGATTCTGACTGCTTGGGTCTGGGTCTTACGCCCTGGGTTCGTGTTTAGATCAAAGAGGCAACTACTTTGGCCCGCCCGGGAATAACCTATGTTAGTTGCGTTGCCCAGACCGACCACGCTCTCCTTCGTTATCAACCTACGCGATACAAGACCAATCTATTATTCTCATTTATATGTAGGTAGTGGCGAGTTCTTTGAGGAGCTTCTCATTCACGTTCATTTTCAAGGGTCGCCAATGCTGACAAATTCATTATTTCCTACGGACACATTCTGCATAGTTAGGTCGCTAATCTAGGCGTGTGTTGAATTTTTCTAGCAGTCAACTTTGTATTTATACGCACGCCGATTGTCTTAGGCGCACCTTGAGTGCAATAGTAAATAAATAAATAAGAAGTAAATAAATAAATAAGAACGGCCCAAAAGCCGAGAAAGGGGAGCCATTTCCTGTCCGTTAATTCCGCATTCATGCGACTTCCATCGGTGCTACCCTCTTCAACGCCTCTCTCTCTCTGCTAAACGGCTACAGCCAGGCGGAGAGAGAGGGAGGGCGCGTGGCGGAGAAGCGTGGGCAGAACTCTGCCAGGTCGCTGGTGGCTACTCTTCGCTGCGTCCTGCACCCTCAGAAGGTCCGGGCCCTCAGATTAGGATATGTTTTTCCTTCTTCGACCTTGAAGCAACAACTCCAGTTCAAATTGGTGGGGTAAAACGATTGATAAGATGATGTGGAAAGGACGTGTACAGACGGGTTTTTGAATGCAACATTATCAGTGCGATGAGGCTATCAGATCTATCTGCCTATTCACTACCTTATCTTATATGTCGTAATGCACGAAGCGTATGGGCGAGCGCGAGGTATCTCGTCCGTAGATTCACATCAGATCTCTTTGTAAAGCCCTAGCACCATTGTCCTTACTCGTGGGCTATTTTATCCTACCAACAGAATAGGTTTCGACACGACCTCGTCTGGGGTGTTGCTAACGTGGATTCCTCTTTCAGTACGTTCAGGTCTTCTAAAGCACTATGTCCCTTTGCTTCTCTGCGCTTTTCGTCGCAGATCCGTGCGACAACAAAGGATTGGGCGCCTGATCCAATCCTCTACTCCCCCCGTTCTACATCACAGCGATTTTTACTCCACATCAATAAACAGGATCAACGTGACGAGCAGCCGATCTCATATATACCCTCTACTTCGGAAGACGAGAAGAGCATTGAGTGCAGACCAAACACCATAAGTGACGACGGTAGAGGAAAAAAACACTTCTTTGGTCTGTGTTCTACACTCAACGCTCTTCTTGCCTTCAGAAATAGACGGTATATCATATGTCAACCCATTCCTCTTCGTGTGGATCCTCTTCCTAAATCCTAGAATACGACTCCCTCGCTTGATTCGGCCGGAATGTCCTTCCCCGTTATCAATCACTTTAAGGAAATTTTCACTATTCTCGATAGCACCCGTGGGCTTCACGCGTATTTCTCTGTATTTCGTAGAAAAGCAAATAGGAATAATGAACCTGAATCGAGAAATCGATGATGCAGACTGCTGTGGCGTTCTCCTTCTCAAATGTCTTTCTATACAGTTATCTAATGGTTTAGCTAGGATGTGTAAAAGGGGGGGGGGATTCTACGATCAAGTAGAAGGTCGAAGGAGGAGGTCTACAGTTCAAGCAGATGGGCAAAGCACAGTGCTCGCACTGGTGACGTCAGCACGATGAGCTTCGTTCCTATGCGAACGGGACAACAGGGGTCCTATTTCATGGCTTCTAAGCCTTTTTTCTTTGTTGTTTTTTTCCTTGTTTCACTGACCAACTCTATTTCTAATGGGCCTTTCCATCGTAATTTGCGCCTTGAACTCAAGATTTGAAGGAGGAAACGTAGTCATGAAAAGAACTGTGACCGACTTTACCCCAATCTGAGCCATTTTTCCATCATTGCGGAACTGCTGATCGAGGATTTGGTGAGTTTGCGGATCAACAGCATTCTCCATGGAGCCGTGAACGGATTGTATAGCTGGTTTATCCTTCAGCTGCTGAAAATGCTGCACATTAACTTCAAGGCTACAACAGCAGATTCCTACATTTTTATTGCAAAAACTTAAAAAAAAACTGAAATTTTCTGAGGAAAATTTTAGAAGAATTTTCGAGCTAAAAATTTTGGAGTTGGAGTGCAAACACACATACTAAGGCCTTGAAAAATATTCATAAATGAAATGTGGTTAATCAGAAAGGTGAATAAGTGCGTATACATAATAAAACTAAAAAATAAGTGCGTACCTGTGAGACAGTCTTAACTACTACTGTCGTGGTTTTCCTCGGTGTTATATCGATGGAGTCAAAGTTATCTGAGACACGCTCACTATGGTAGCATAAAATAAATTACTAATGACGTGAATTTAGAACAAACCATGGGGATCGTAAATAGCTCGCCTTTGACTGGTTACCGTCTCTCGAAACTCGCTTCCAGCACTGTTTCGGATTCTCACCGTATCGACTACTTTGCCCGGAGTCAGACTCTTCGGATCGTAGTAGTAATCGAACTGAAAATTCACTTAAGGACAGGCAATGTAGGATCTCAAGTACAAAATTGATTCGCGCTATACAACCCTAGAGCAAGGCTTGGTTTCAGGAGGATAGAATAGTTAGGCCAAATGTATAGGATAAGCATACTCACTAGTAAACACAACTACGTAAGTGCAAGATTCACGTGAATTTCGCGGTGAAGGATGCTATTGAAGCGATCTAATAATACCCTACCGAATTCCTCGCCACCTTATAGTTTCGTTCCGCCTCTAAAAGGCTGCCACAGCCGGTAGTCTAAAGCTGTTCACGCTCTAGCTCCAGTAGCACGGAGACAAAACATGGCGTCCAAGAGGCCAACGCCAGCTACTATCACGGAATCTTGTTCAGCGCCCAGAATCATCGGGCAATGCAAGACCTCATTCCGTGGTTTCAATGCCATTTTTCCTCAGCCATTTAGCCTCATTATTTCCTCCTAGTTCTTCTTTCCGCACTATTCTTTATATCGAAGTTCATTTCAAATCACCGACCATATTACCTCTACTTTTAGAGAAGGACGAGTTTGGAAGTAGGAGCGGAAGATACCTATTCGAAAGGCAGGTGGACTTCCTCAGCATACGGGACGATGCGCGTTTTGCAGCGAAAGTATGTCCTTAGCGGCCTAGCATAGCCATCCCGTGTTGCTGTCGCTGCTGCCTGCCAGGGTCGGTCCTATCGTTGCTACTTTTCAAAAAGTTTTTACGACCCCCCTCCCTCATGAAATGTTTCATACGACCCCCTCTTTCAAAACAATTTTTACCCCAAAAAATTACCGTCGAGCGGGGACGCGCTGAAACGGCAAATTTTCTCCCGCGCCGCTCCCCACTCATCACATGCAACTTCTTACAACCGAAGCAAGTACGACCCCCCTCTACAAACTCATCAAAATACGACCCCCCGTTGCTACTTGTAGCAACATAGGGTTGACCCTGCCCCCAGCCCGTCGCCGCCTGACTCTAGCCGTAGCAGCGAAAGCCTTGCGTTAGGGAGGCACATGATTAGGCAAATCAACGGTCAAAGAGGACCCCTTGGTCTGGAAGACGGGCTAAGGAGAAGCGGAACCCCGTTGTTGGAATCGGTAGCAACATCTCCAACTGCCCACGGAGCGAGAGGTGCGGGTTCGATTGTTGCCTGAGGCAAAAAAACCTGCTTCAACCCAACATTCTCGTGATAACCTCGAAAATGTTTTTTTTGGGTTAGCCATATGGGATTTTGGGCTGATTGTCATGGTTTTTCCCTCGGCCCCAAATCACTGACCACTTTCACCTTGATTTTCAATGGGCTGTGTTTTCATAGTGAACTGTGCCTTTGAGACGCTTGTGATTGGTGGATTGACCGCGTTGGCTAATCACACGAACGCCTCGCATGCTCTCAATCAAGGGCCAGCTGACACTACTGACACCACACATCATGTCAGCACATAGCAACGAGTTCACTACCACAGTTTACTACTTGTATGTTTAGAAAAAACCATTAAAAAATTTACCTGTACTGTAAGTTCACCAGTCACTTCATCTTTCCGATATGGCCTTCCTTGCAATTTCAAGTTGTGAACGTGCTAGAAAATGAAAATGTTGTTATTGGCCAATCAATTGCCTCGGTTCGAGGTTAAAGCATAATATGTAATTTCAAATAAAAATGTGAAAAATATCCAGCTCTTATTTTACTGATAATAAGGACAACTTTCAGCATTAGCTTTTACCTCGCCACTTTTTCTGATCTCTTCGAGATTCACTATTGCAAGTCCTAAGAAGTTGTTATCATCATCGCCCGTGTTTTTCAGGCTTGCATCGTACACTTCGAAAAGGATTTCTTCTGAAGCTGGTGTTATATCGCTGAAAACATTGAATTTAAGTAAATATTGACTAATAGAAGGGTACAATTACAAATAGAATATGAATCCTTACAAATCATAGTTTTCTTCCCAGTAAGGACACGCATTGATCCCTTTCGTGGTAGTGAACTTCTGAGCTGGTTCATCCATTTCTATGACAACAAATGGCTGCTGAACATCCGGTGCGGCTAAACAGTTCCGATTACCCTATTGTCCCTTACGATGCTATTCACAGCACATCGTATATTTTATGTACTTCAACAATTTTTATAACAAATTTGCTAAGTGAACCTCTGACATAAAAGCCCGATGGTAATGTTATTCGGGGAAATTATTGTGTCCAAAAATTAAAGTAATCGTGGAAATTCATTTATTTATAAATAAATAATTGTGGAAGTCCAGTATTTATGATGAACCGAAAACTTGATAAAATCCTAAGAAATTCCATTGAGCACTATTGTATGTATGAGCAGGGTTTGCGCCCTACCCTGCAGCATCCTCATTGGCTGGCTGTAACAGTTTACCGTATTCAAAAAGGAACGGTCAACGAATGAGACTATCCATAGGGGCGGGACGCTGCGCTATGGATTCCAGGGTCCTTACCACAGGCAAGGGCGGATTTTCGATAGCGGACTTCAAAACCTAACGCGTCACAAGGAGGGTCTTTCAGGTCATGGAGCGCTTTTTCAAAATGGTTTCTTGCATGTTGTAGAGGCTCATGCGAGGAACACAAAACCATGGTCCATTTTTCCTGAACGCTTCTGGGAATGTCAAACCAGGGGTGAAAAAATGGTCCTGTTCAATCCTCCGTGGCTACAAGTTTTTGCAACTGATGTTTGTACCCCCAAACTGCCGTCAAATTACGAAGGCGACATCCATTTTGTAGCTGGTGTCATTTGGCGCAATTTGGAGGCGCCAACATAAATTGCAAAAATTAGTCATCACGGAGGATCGAACTTTGGACCATCTCTTCTCCACTGTTTTGACATTCCTAGAAGCGTTCAGGAAAAATGGACCATGGTTTTGTGTTCCTCGCATGAGTCTCTACAAAATGCAGGAAACCATTTTGAAAAGCGCTCCATGTCCTGAAAGACCTCCCTTGTTAGACCGGAACTTCGTTCTGTGTGCGCGAAGAGCGCTGAAGGCGCTCGTTCCTGCTGGACTACTTACGATGGTCAATTATAGGATAACTATGCTTCACTCGTCCATAGGTGTACATACACGACACGCGTGGCGCGGACTCAATGATAAGATCGGGCCGTTAAAAGTGCGTGAATGCTCTGGTATTTTCTGATTCTCATGCCCAACTACGTGCTGTGACTAGTGTAGGTAGAGGTCCATAGTGTGACGAAAAAATGAACGTAGGGGGACCGCTGGATAGTTTCTTGCTGAATGTGGCAGTTCGTCTTAAGCTGTAGTAGATAACGGCGCAAGTCACTCATTTAAGGGCAAAACATGAAGAGTCTGACTTTTAGGCTGATTGCACTTTCTTGCTCAGGTCATGCTTCCCTGGGGTCGTTGAAGACGGTATAAAAGTTTACACGTTCTTCATCCACCTTTGGAAATCTATTGTGCATGCTCAGGAAGTCCAATTTTGAAGTTCGCGCAAAAAATTGGTATTCGGTTCAAGATGAACAAAACTAAACCCCCGTTCAGAGACCAACGACTATGGACTGGCAACGCCCTCCAACCTTTCATTTTCGAGCAGCACACAACCTCTTCGTATAAACATTCAAATACGTTATTTCATTAGGACACCAAAGACCGATTAACAAACGTTCAGGCACCTTACTCAGAAACATAACTTTTAATAAAATAAGCACGCAATCAGCCATTCAAACAGGCCACGGATCTCTCACGGCTTCACTATGCCAAATTAACAACGCGTGACGTAATCTACCACAGCCCCATGAGCTGGCGCCGAACTGCCACAGTAGCCAAGACAACTACCCGATGTCTCTGCGTCCCTGCCCTTTGCTGCGCGAAGAGCTGTTTCTACGCGCTTTGGCTACAGTGACGCTAAGTCAGATATCTTTTTTCCGTCTGTACTCTAGTCCTTTATGGAAGACAAAGGAAGACACTCAATGCGGCGAAATACAGCGAATTGTTAGAGCGCAGACTGAAAAGGACAGTGTCAGATCCAGCATCCTATGCAGTAGTCACAGACCACTGTTAAAGACCCTCACTGAGAGGGTGTAGATAAACCATGCACACGAGCAATGAATTGTCCGTCCTCCTTCTCTGCCACCCTCCCCGAAGCGCCGAGAAGAGCAGGAAGATTGACATGGTTCAAACGGCTCCTAGTGTTTGCAGATTGCAGATTCGCGAGGGGCCGCTGGTCATTTTCCTCACTCATAAAAAGCCTTCTTTGTTCAGGGCACGAGATTTTTTCAGTGAATAAGAAAACCCGTTCCTCATGTAGCGCACACTACTGTCAAGAGTTCAAGTGAATCAAGGAAATATCACAGATGAAATTTCGCAAAATTCGAAAAGAGAAGATTTCAAATGGGTAGCAACTCACATGGTCCTCTTCCTAAATGGTTTGCTTTCACGATTAACACACGCAATTTGTTCGGAGCAGTATTGTTGTTGATGGAAGGTGACATTATCTGAATCTCGGAACCATTAACACTATCTTCGGAAAATAAGTAGCACTTGTAACTCACATTGGTTTCATTGAGCTTTTTGAAAATTTCAGGTACTTGAGCGGCAACAGCCAAATGTTCTCCTGACAGTCGTTTCGCATCACCGCGAGGTGACGGCGACGGATTTAGAACCGACGAATTCGCCGAGTGATTCTGAACTTCGTGTTTCACAAAGAGGCCACAGTTCAGCATCCACAGAATGTTTGGTAGCCATCCCTGCTATACCAGAAAAGCGGGCCGTACTACTAAATCAGGTCCGCTTTTCTCGTATAGCAGTAATCTGCTGGTCGTGGTCCGCTTTTCTGGGAGTGAATGCAATAAAGCCAAAGTTCGCGCAATGAGTGAGCAAATCTCTGGAAGAATCTCAGGTGACTGTTCATTGTGCACTGACTTGCTGGTGCGTACCCAGGCCCCTTAACCCATTGCGGACCGCTGTTATAATTGCACCTCCGTAGGATTTTGTCATCTCTTTAATCAGTAGCCGATGACCTATCAAAAATTTAACCAGTATGCCAATAAGTGATATATCCGTGTCCAAAAAAGTAAACTGATGAGTTTGTAACTTAACAAAATGCTGAAAAAATCGAAGATACTGTCCTTCTCCGCGTGGTGGCGTGCTGCACCATGTGCAGCACGCGGTCCGCAATGGGTTAATGACCAGCCCCAGCGATAGGATCAAGCGGATCGATAGGATCAAGCGTACTTAGTTAGTGCAATCTACGGGAGGAGCGTCATCGCTGTGAGGGAACTAGTAGTGAGCTCCGAATCCAGCACTGAGCAAATTAGTAATACGCCTTTCCGATAGGAAAAAGGACCCATGAGTGGGCTCAAAAAAGCGCTGTCACAATTTGTGCATCCAGCGTAATAAATTCCAGAAGAGCGCTCGCGAACGCAATGATGCCTTTGTGAATATAGATGTATTAGGTTGTCTCATAAGTAGTGTCGCTTTTTTTCAAACAAAAAGTTTTCTCCTAAATTCAGGCTTTTACATCGGTTATATACCATTCGAAAGAGAATTGTCTGCTCTACAAGATGCTATGTTCTTCTTCCTCTGTTCCGGTGTCTTCAAAATTCTATACCTACGAATGTTAGTACCAGTAGACAAAAATTGACCAAACCGACAACTACCCTAATTTCCGGTGTATAAGCCCGCGCCGATTTCACGTAAAACCACCCCCGCTCGTGCAGTGTAACTTTGTACACCTTAGAAACCACCGCAAATTTGCCTATAGAGGTAAGTCGATGCCCTGATCACGAAAATGACTTTCATTTTCAGCGCTGGCGCCATCTGGCGCCAGTTGGCGCCACCTTGTCACGACCCTTGTTTTCGCCAAAATCGGTGTAAACTTCAGTATAGGGGTTATTTGGGACCCTGATTACGAATATGACATTCATTATAGGCGCTGGCGCTGTTTGACGCCTATTTTCTGCTCGTCTGCGCTCTCCAACCGAGACATGTGCACTAAACAACGTTAACGCCAAAAACGAATGTCATATTCGTAATCAGGGCCCAAATAACCCCTATACAGAAGTTTACACCGATTTTGGTGAAAACAAGGGTCGTGACAAGGTGGCGCCAACTGGCGCCAGATGGCGCCACCGCTAAAAACGAATGTCGTTTTCGTAATCAGCATATCGAATTACCCCTATGGGCATGTTACGGTTGACTCTAGATGTACTCAAGTACACTGCACCAGTGGAGGTGTTTTTACATGATACTAGCGCGGGCTTATACACCGGAAAATAGGGTACCTCTAACTTTATGTTCCCTGGGGAGAAATCAATCAGTGATGTACCCTCTACTTACTCATGACCTCTTCTAACATTCCACTCTTAGGTTGCCGAAAAAGCTTTGCCGTGTTTCTTTTCGAATTGGCTGACCGATAAGCCATAGCAATTTTCAAATTAAAATTGTTCCTCGTAAACGCCATTGTTTCATATCGAGTGGTGTTCCTTTTGTGAGCACTTCTTCTGCTCTATTCGCTCATTTGTTTTGTTTTTATGTTTGTTGGGAATTAGTTCGAATTTTAGGTGTTTAGGAATAAGGTGTTTTATCCACGAAAGTGACCGCATTTCTTTGAAAAAAAATATCCCTGAGAAGATGAGAAAATCAACCAGGCGTACATTCCTAACTTAGTCATGACTTGTTCTTCAAATTCTACTAGTTTTTCAATGTCTCGGCTAAAAAAATTTCGACCTAGATCTCAGGTAATGGTGCTCGACCGTCGAGTTCTGGTTGAAAAACCAGGTCTGGAAATGGAACGACGCGACTTGTTGGGAAACCTAATAGTGTAATGTTTAGAAGAGGTCATAGGGTAGACATTCATTGATTGATTTCTCCCAAGGGAAGATAAAGTTAGAGATAGTTGTCGGTTTGGTCAATTTTTGTCGGCTGGACCTCCCATTTCGCAGGCCTAAAATTTGAAAACCTGGAACAGAGGTGGAAAAAGAACATATGTAATACTATTACGAACTTTATCCATGCACAAAATCTTTCAATCATCAATGCTTTTGCGTGGGCGTGAATTGCTATAAAGAATTTGTGCTTACTGAGAATCTGAAAAGTCGTTCGCAAAGAAAATTCCGCAAAATTTTGTAGCATATGCCTGTTTTTATACTGTCAAACTTCATGTTCTTGCGGGCCGAATAAGTTCCTGCAAAGTTATCACAGGGTTACTAGCAGAATTTTCGTCCGGCGCGGCATCGAAGCACAACTCCGGGCACGTTGCGTACCTAACAGATGACTGATGTCCCAGCTTTCGGTCATTACTTATACTGATCCACTGATATAGCTACTGTTTATGTGATGCATAAAGAGGGGCTCATAAAGCGACGCTCATGTGTTATCGGCAGCACGCGGAGGGAAAAACTTCCAAAAAACTGCTTTTTGGGTTGAGGAAAGCTTAGATAGCGGGTTCAATTCCACCTGAGAAAGAGATTTTTACCGTCAACCAGAATTTTTGGAACAATTTCGACATTGCTTTGAAGTTTAGTGTATGTTAAGAGCCTACTATTTCCAAACATCTTTTTGTAACCAAAAATCACAGTTATCAGAACCACCCTTTCTATAGCGAACATTGCTTCGGAAGGATTTTATGATCACTTAGACAGACGGTACGATGAAGTGGTTGTCTACGGAAGCGGACAACAAACAAAACGGGCTTCTCTCTATCAGTTGGCCTTCCATAGTCTTGCTTTTAAGCTATAGGGGAACGCTCCATAACCTTTTCAGTACCGGTGGTACATATACAAATGGTCCACCACTATTTGAAAACTTTTCTTTGAGAGAGTTCTGTTTGAGGACGAGTTTACGAGTGCAATAAATACTGCTAGAGTAAGGTGATTTCTATCATGCAGAAATTGGTGAAAAAAGAAGAAAACAAGAACATTTTGTTCAAGGACATCCCTATTCCGCAAAACATTCTTCCAAACTGACGTGATCGTGCACTGTAAGCCTTGGGATCGTTGCCTCTCAAAATGGCCTTTCCGTTGAATCCACTCTTTAATCGACGTGAACAATAATCCTTCTAACAGCACAACCTCATGCTTTTGCACTATTATTGTCAGTCATTTTCATTATATCTTAAAGCCTTTATGTATACGAATATATCCTATAAAATTGACGACAGAATGGTTCAAAGCAGCCCGTCCCACTGTTTAGCATGAAAAAATAACGAGGTTGAACATACCTGATTACGATAGAAACTCTCATTGAAAGAATCTATTGTTTGATTATCGTCAAATCTCCAGTCTTCCAAATTTGGTGGCATTGCCTCGGATAAATTGATATTTGTGACTGCTGACAATAAACATCGGCGAATTTTTTCTTCGACTAGTCCGAGGGAGACTTGTGATTGCTGAAAATGCCGATTAGCATAAAATGACTCTGAAATCTTCAACTCTAGCGGATAAGCGGACAGAGTTGAAAAAGTAATGTCAAGGTCAAAGCAGAGTTGACCATAACTTCCGGGATTTCACCAGCGAGCGGAGGAAGGTATTAAAGAAATTTGGTGAAATGGATGATGTGTAGAAAAAGATGTGTAGAATTGACTTTTCCAGGAGGTGCTGAACTCCCCATCTCCCTCGACTCTGATTCTAGAGGGATTTCGAGAGCGCTTGGAGTGTGCCAAGCATGGTCAATCGTCACGTTGGACAATTTTTAAAAATTTACCCTCCTTCTGGAAGGCCTCCGATACGACCTCCCCCTCCAGGGTCAACCCTACCGTTGGTACTTTTTGGAAATTTTTCACGACCCCCCTCCACCACCATGAGACTCAGGAGGTCCACCAATAACGACCACCACCCTTACCATCAGAGCTGTTACTATAGTATTTGATTCTGAGACCAGTTGACACAGCCCAACCCACCCACATTCCTCCAAAATACTAGCCGTCGAGCTGGGGGGGGGATATATCAATATCAACAGTGAAACGGCACAAAGCGTAAAGCGTCACACTACGACCCCCCGTTGGTGTAGGACTGACGCTGCCTCCGACCTGGCGATTACTCGTCGGCCGAATACGACCCCCCCCCCCTCGTTGGACTGTCCCACGGACAGGTTGACCCTGGTGCCAAGTGATGACAGGTTCAGCGTCACTGTGACACTGTCGACCTTTGCAAGGTGTCGTGTGTAAGGATGTCTCCAAGAGGGGTCGTAAAAACTTCGGAATCGTCACGACGTTACGGTTGACCCTGGTTCCAGGAACGAATGATATGTGAATTACAAGACAACATTAATTGGGGTAAAATTGTAGGTTGAAAAAATCGTTATGACTTGAGGTCAAGCAGACAATCCTAATTTGAGAAAATGATTCCAATTTTTTCACATCTTAACAGACCAATGTTTGGAAGAGATCGTCGCAATTACGGGGTAGAAAAGATTTTCTCTCGTGAAAAATTGATTTTTGATCTGGTAGGACTACTTTCCTTCCACTCCCATTTCGCCTATTGTAATACACCCTCTTTACAGTGAATGTAATAGCAAAACACATGGCTATGTGGAGCAGATAAATAGGAACAAAATTTAAAATAATGTAGAAATAAAACTTGAAGGAAATTTTACGAAAATTTCCCGCTGAAATAAGGGCATCATATGCTCATAGCACAGCCTTACAGCTCGTGCCTGTATGAAAGTCACTTTGAGAAAGTAATAATCATCAGATCAAGGAAAATAAAGGAACACTAATAAGGAAAAAATGGGTGCTATACAAGTAGGGTGGGCACGCCGCATTTTTTGAACAGAAATGTATGTAAGTGGGACTGCTGCCCGCTACTATACTGTCACGAGAATCGGGGAATTCGTGAGCCAGGGGGAGTGTAGCCAATCTAGGGGGTGGGGGTGAGGGCAGTCACTTGACATGCGTGAAAAGCTGGGCGTGCCCACCCCACTTGTATAGAGCCAAAAATGAGTACAACAAATAAAAACTAATGCGTATTGAAAATTGTTACAAATACTTGATGCCGATAAAAAGCATACTTACTGCAGTTTTATCCACATTTGTTAATTCGATGTCCATTTCCGGCCTTCCATTGAAACATCCCATCAGAAAAAGTTGATTGGCGATGCATGCAAAACGGCATTCTACCTGCAAGTATCGACAGTTTGAAATGATCTAAATGATCGATGTGAATGGTTTTTTTTGGACAAGGAATACCTCTGCTGAGGTGTCAACTAAGCTGAAGGGCTAATTTAGAAGTAAAGCTTGTAGTAGTACCGGTTATAATGTCGGTGGAATGCTAGGCGGGTGCGCATCGCGATTTTTTGGACACGGTAGGCGCGAAATGTACGTGCATGGAGACTAGTGCCCGTTGCTATAATGTAGCGAGACGCTATGGGAATACGTCAAGCGATTCGCCTTCATACACCACCCCTAAATCGGCTACGCATCCCCTGACTCGCCAGCAGGGTCGGTCCTACC